ACCAACATGCATTTCGACCTGTTGGAGCCGGACCGCACCCCCATGGAGGACTTCTGAGGCCCTCCCCAGTCTCACCCCACTTTACTTTTGCCCCCCCTTCCCCCCCTCCTTTTGCTTCCCATAGGGCAGGATAGCACTCGCATGTGCGCACTGGGCCCACACAGATGTGACCCGCCCACTCGAGTGCGGCGCCCGGATGTTAGTGCTTGAGAAGACACCACAAACGCGGCACGGCCCGTTTTGGCTGTCTGCGGAGAATCTGTTTTAGCACACACAGCTCAGGGTTCACCTCCAGGTGCACCCCCCCGGGCAGTGCTTGCACTTTCGGAATGCCGTGGGGCTCCTCTACCCGTTTCCGCCCGGGTTCGGGTGTGGAAATGCGAGCCCTTCGGCGAGGGTCGCCCCCTCTTGCCCCACCCCCTTGTGTGTGTGGAGAAATTTACCCTCCCTTCCCTTAAGCTGGACATTGTTGCCGAAAGAATCAGAGCCCAACACACATGCCTGTAGGGTTTTACAACCCCCCCCCCCCCCGCGCTATGGGGCTACAGTATGGCGCGAAGCTCGATCCGAGACGGCGGGAGCATGCTTGCTACAGCGCGTGCTTCGTCACCTCATCTCGGACCCACTTCCGAAACCGCGCAGCATGGCCCACCTTCTTCCCGAAAACCTGCAGAGCAAGCTGAGAGAGGTGGTCGTCGCTCATCTCAGCGAAACGGCGCGGATCGGCAAAGCCGTGCTCTCGGAATGCCGTCTCGTAGCCGAACGTGTGGAGCCGCATCTCCTGGAGCACCACAAGTAGCTGCTGGTGCTGTTGGCCCTCCACCGCGGAAGCCTCCTCGTCTTCTTCCTCCTCCAGCGGCGCTGCCGAGACCGCCGCCGCCGCCGCCGCCGCTGCCGCCGCCGCCGACACTGCCGCCGCTGCCGCTACCGCCGCAATCGCCGCCCCCTGGCCTCTCTGCGCCGCCTCCTTGTCAGGCGGTGGTGTGGACCGCGGCGGCCTCCCCTCTTCGCACTCCTCTTCGTCGGCCTTCGTCTCGTCGCCCTCGCCGTCGCGACCGCCCGCAGCTCCGCCGACGGTCTCCGTCTCCTCGACATCCTGCCTACCTAGCGCCCGCACGCGCTTGATGGGCTTGCTGGTCTCGACCTCGCCGCCGTCGTACGCGACGTCCACCCACTGGCAGACGTCATTCCGGTGGACGGCCTGCACTGTCGCCGGGAACCAGAGCTCGTCGGCACCGGAGCCGAACTGCGCGAGGACGCGCGCCCCCGGCTCGCAGCGCCGCGTCGAAGACCAGAGCGCCGTGTGCCGCCCCGCCTGGTCAGTGTGCACTCCGCCCAGCTCCGACCGCGCTGGACGCGGCAGCCCGTCCGCTCGGTGCGCGCGGCTCGAGCGGCGGAGCCCCTCCGTGCTGGGCGCCGGCTCATCGGAGGGGGTCACGTCGGCGGGCACATCCTCCTCGCCCGCCTCAAGCGCGTCGGCCGGGGCGTCGCAGCCCTCCTCCTCGTGCACGAAGACGCAGAGGAACTGGTCGCTCGGCGCGGGCTCCTCCCGCACGCGACGCCACGCGCCGCAAAAGTCGCATTCCGCCCAGCAGCGCGAGAGCTGCGCCGGCCTCAGCAGCAGCCCGAAGTGAGCCGCAACCTCGGAGACAGAGCCAAACTCGCGCCCGTCGGGCGAGCGGAAGGTCGCGCTCGACGGAGCGAGCCGCAGCCCGAGGCAGCGGCGGTTGACGCAG